AAAAAAAAAAAAAACTTATTTGCTAAATAACCTTTGTGGCCTTGTATCGTTAATATACAGGTTCTCAATCATATTTTTTTGTTGTTATCTCATTTGGCATCTCCTCACAATTGATGAACTTCTTTTGAATTGATGCAAATATAAAAACATATCTCTTTGGATACCTATCTCTCTGAATACTTCCTATTTCTAGAAGAACCTAATTATGGTAGTTCATAAGATTAAGACTAAATTCATATTCCAAATTACTAACAATTTGATCTCTATTTTTTTTTTTATAATAATTTGGAACCATGGTTTAATGATAATTCTCTTTTTTCCTCCCAAATTCCCTTCTCATTTCCTCTAATGTTTGCACTAGGGGTGTCAATATTTGACACAACACGAAAACCCGACCCGGACCCGACCCGAAAAATCCGGGTTCAAACGGGTCGGGTTCGGGTTCACAGATTCGACCCGTTTGACAAAACGGGCCCGTTTCGCACCCGGGTCAGTTCGGGTTCGACCCGAACCCGACCCGAAACCCGAAATTGACACCCCTAGTTTGCACCATCATTACCAACAATAGATGGAACATGTATTTATCCTTCCCATATGATGTACGGAATATTCTCTCTCGTCAATATTGTGTAAGCTCTTGGAAATGGGATCAGTTGGCTCAAATTTGATTGCCCAACCATTAAGATTTTTCTTTAAGATTACTATGATAATTTGCATCCTGTTACTTGGCATAAATATATTTGGCACAAAAACCATCATCTTCAGTTTTCCTATTACACGTGGCTCACTCTTGTCAGTGGGCTGAAAACTATCGATAACTTGATTAAACGTTACATCTCTATTCAAGCTAATTGTCCTCTTTTCCATAATCTTGATGAAAGTACTTCCCATCTCTTCTTTGAATGTGATTACTCCTTTAAGTTCTTACTTAACTCGGCCCTAGCTTAGTTCGACACATTCATGATATTCCTCATGCAAGAAATGCTATTAAAATTTTATAATATCTTTATATTCGTTCTTTATACCATATTCATGTTTTGAATATTCGTGACAGTAGAAAAATATAAAATTTGGCTTCCTAGCTTTATACGAAGATTCAACATACGAACATATGAAAGAGTAGTGGTGAACCCTTCATAAGAGACACTAGATTTTTTACGTAAAATCCTCAAAAAAAGGGAAAAGACGTAGGAGCCTTGACAGTGAATGAATTCACTAGTATTTATAATTGATTACAAATAATGACCTTCCTCAGAGAAATTAGTCAGCTCAATGTAACAAATATACATCATATAGAGCAATTTACATTGCTGGAAGAATGCAATGACATAAGAACTATCCTCAAGAGAGTGTTGGTTTGTTCGTAGGACTGTATTTTGGCAGTAGAGGTCGAATGAATCATATTTGGTAATTGATAGAGGTTGGAAGGACAATAGTCGGCAAGTGATGGAGGTTGGAAAGACTATAGTTGCGCAATGATGGTCGAAAGGACCATAGTTGGCAAGTGATGGAGGTCAGAGGGATTATAGTCGTCGGGCATAAGTGTTCGGAGGGATCGAAGCCAACAGGCGACAATGGTTAGAAATATTGTAGTTGACAGATAATTGTGGATAGAGGAACTATATTTGATGGGTGATGGAAGAGGAAGGCTCTTCATTTGCTGCCAGATGAAGGGCCGACGACGATGGTTTGGCAGAGATTTAGCAGCGATGGCCTAGTGACATGAATTCGTCAATGATGGTGCTGGGGTGGAGCTCCAAGCTTTTCTAAGCCACAGGGCTCTTCTCTTCCTCCTCCTTCCCCCTCATGTGAATAATATGGGTCTATTTAAAAACTCTTAAATCATATTTGCATCGAGATTCATGACCGATCAAGACCATTTTTTATGGCGTATCAAGCATTACAGGCTCTAAACAATGATGTTACATATTAGTTCCTAAATAACCATTTCATTTTATCCACCCTTCTCTTATTGCTATTGGACATAGTATTAGTGGTAGCTAATTCTTATCTGATTCCACTCCATTGGACTATTTGTTGATAGCTCTATTTATTCTTTTTTATCCAATAATTCCTAATCCTCCTATTTTTTCCCCTCCAGAAAACTTTCTTAGAAGCTCCAATTTGAACGTAAATTTGTTATTATAGCTCGCTCGTTTGAACCAAACTTCTAACCGTTTCTTCACTTAATGAAACTGACTTCTGCCCTCGTCTTTGTCTTTTTTTTTTTTTTTTTAATTACGAAACTCAAAATCTGATAGTTCATTCAGGTTCTCTTCAGTTCTTCTTCAGGTGTAAATCGTGCCCTCAAGCAAGGATGAAAATTGGATTTGGGAATTGCTCTGTGATTTGCTCTTATTCTGCGTTGCTTTTTCTTGAAAGGAGTTTGTGGCTGCTTTTGGGGTTCAGAGAGCTTTGTAGTTTCCATTTTTTTTTTTTTTTTTTTTTTAATTACGAAACTCAAAATCTGATAGTTCATTCAGGTTCTCTTCAGTTCTTCTTCAGGTGTAAATCGTGCCCTCAAGCAAGGATGAAAATTGGATTTGGGAATTGCTCTGTGATTTGCTCTTATTCTGCGTTGCTTTTTCTTGAAAGGAGTTTGTGGCTGCTTTTGGGGTTCAGAGAGCTTTGTAGTTTCCACCCCTTTGTTCTTACTCTAACCTTCCTTGTCCCCTTGGCTGCCTCAAGGCCGCCAACTGACAGCCTCTAAACCCAGGATTCCTTTTTCAAATTACAAATAAAAAACAGCTGGTCGATTTGTAAATCCCCAAATAAGAGTTTTACACTGTTACCCTTTTCTATTCGTTAAAGCTGAATTAGCACAGTCAGTCAGCTCTAGCTATTTGTTTAGGCTAACCTTGCAGGACCAATTTAGTATTTTAATTTTTTTCAAGGATTCATTTAATTTGATTTATATTTTGAAGAATAAAAAATTTAATATTTAGCTGGAGAAATGAAATTATTTTTTTAGTTTTTAAATAACCTTTACATGTAAATAATAAAATATTAATAAACATTTAGTTGTGGTAAAGACTTGCTTATCTTAATATTATTATAGACACATTTAATTTATTTAGTTGGAAAAATAAAAATCGATATTAATTTTATGCTCTAAAAATATCTTTGAAATGGCTCAAACGAGATAATTTAATTTTCATAATTAAAATGAATAAAAAAAAATATGCATTTTTTATAAGCAGTCAAATAAGCCGAAATTGGAGAAGAACAATAATTAGTTTTTTTAAAACACGGATGCATTGTTAACGTACTATGATTAATTTTCTAAAGTTCATCCACTCAATTATTTGATTTTCAATACAAATAATTGTGAAACTGCTCCTTTAAAAATGGTATGAATCAGAGAAGTGTGAACTTATTTATGCAAGCGATATGAAACATCGCGTCCTTATCAGGAAATTAAATAATAAAATTTTGTAAAGACTTGTTTTGTAATTATGAATGCAATGAGGAGATATTTTCTAAGTTATTTTGAAATGTCTTAAACGCATCTCCAATAAAAAAAATTTATTTTTCACTTCAAATATAATAATAATTATATTAAATTTTAATTCATCTCTAACTAAACTCTATTTATAACAAAAAAATATTTTGTGTATATTTTTTCTCCCTCCAGCTAAAAAATTTATTTTTAACACAAAATTGGGTTTATGTGAATAGTGTGATTGTTCAAAGCCTAGCCTAGATAAAATACAAAAATCTATTTCCATTTATGATTCAGTGAATGCTCTTAGGTAGGGGTGTCAATATTTGACATGACCCGAAAATCCGACTCGAACCCGACCCGAAAATTTTCGGTTAGGGTCAACCCGAACCCGAAACGGGTCGGGGTCGGGTTCAACATTTCGACTCGTTCCAAAAATTGGGTCGGGTTCGGGTTAACCCTTTGACCCGAAATTGACCTGAAAATCCGATGTTGACCCGGCAACCCGAGATTGACCCAAAAAAGATGAGATATACCCATTTTTGACCCAAAAACTAGCAATTTTTTTGTTGGAAACGGGTCATTCGGGTCGTGTCGATTTGATCCGAACCCGAAGCGGGTCGGGTTCGGGTCGGGAAAACTGACCCGTTTTCAAAAATGGGTTGGGTTCGGGTTGACCCGAATAGTGCCGGGTCAGTTTCGGGTTCGACCCGAACCCAACTCGTGATTCGAAATTGACACCCCTACTCGTAGGAGCTCCAAATGGTCGAGTGGAGATGCCCTAAGATGCTATGTGAAATTAGGGGTAAGTTAATACGATAATTCATCCTTATTTAACCGAATTAATTAATGTAAAATTTTAATTACTGTATAAATATTTTTCATATCAAGTTCCATCAAATTCAAATTTCATCAATCAAAGTTTTAGTTATGGATGTAGGTTTCATTTGGCATAATTTTTTACTACTAATTTTTTATTGTTTTCATATTGATAAGTTATTGTAGAAAATAACAAAGAAATTGCCCCCATGACAGTAATATCAAGTCTTTGTCCCACTACATGCGGTTGATTACATAAATCTTTTTTCTTCGTTATGTCATGTTAAAAATCAAATTCCCATTTAATTCTAAGCTAAACTTTAATTTTAGCATATATAAATTACATTTAATTGGATCCAATAAACATTAAATTTAACTCAAATTCAAGATGTACAAGAATTGACAATTCCAATCCTATTAGTTACCTTCAGAATGCGCTGAACAAGAATACGAAGTGAAGCCGATGCTTCTTCCATTAAAAAAGAAAATATATACTTTTAACGCTTCATATAGCTTTGCCGTTTTTAAGAAAACTATTTATACTAATTATTAATTAATTAAGATCTCTTAAGTTGCTACTTCATAATTATGGTCGATTTTCAGGTGAAAAAAAGAAATTAGCACGCATATCGAATGGGAGGGTTATTTTTGTCATTTCAAAATAATTAAGCAACATGCTGCCTCGCGATCCATGTTCCTCCTATGAAAAACGCCATAGCAGAGTGACCACCAATGAGGCCATTCACGTAAATTACCCACCGCTTCCGCTAGCTTCCAATTGCCAGCCTTCTTCTTCCTCTTCCTTCAGCCTCTTTCTTTAAAGAAAAAAACCCACTTTTCCTCTCTCGTGGCTACTCCCTTCTCCATCATCATCATCATCATCATCTCTCTCTCTCTCTCCGATCTATTTCTCAAAACTCCACCTTCAGTCCAATGGCAAACATCTTTCTTCCTTTGTTTCTCCTCTCCGTTACCGCTCTAATCCTCTCTGCCGCCGCCGCAAGCTCTGGTGCTGACGGAGGCTCTATCCACGACCTTCTTCAAGAACACGGCCTACCTGCTGGACTCCTTCCGAAGGCCGTGGAATCCTACACTCTGGATCGCACCACTGGCCTCCTCGAGGTGAAGCTCGACCGCCCCTGCTACGCCAAGTACGACGGCCTGGCCTACTTCGAACAAATAGTGCGTGGAAACCTCAGCTACGGTGCACTAGGAAGCGTAAGTGGATTAAAGCAGGAAGAACTCTTCCTATGGCTTCCCGTTCGTGGAATCCTTCTTACGAACCCCTCTTCCGGCGTTATCCTCTTCGATATTGGCGTCGCACATAAGCAGCTTTCGCTTTCTCTGTTCGAGGTCCCGCCGGATTGCAGGCCGGCGGAGAGCCCTGAGGTGGCGGCTGGTGGCATCCGGGAGATCCCTAAAGGTGAGGAAACTGAAAAGTTACCATCTTGGCCATGGTTTTCTCATGAGTCTCTCTTTCGATTCGTTTCTTCCGTTTTCTTTGGAATAGAGCATTTATTGCACTCATTGAGTCAGTTTTCTTTTTTGTTCATCTCATTAAAAACATCTGCTTTCAGGTTTGGATCTTATCCGTCCGAATTTATGACCTCTCATTTCGTTTTTCCTTTGCTAGCTAGTTCTGGTTCATTTATTCCTGTTTATTTAAGATATATATTACTCTACCCTTCTCTACTAAAATCTTTTTTCAACATTTCCTTCTATGGTAGGGCATTTATATTTTAAGTCACAAGCTTTTTCACTGCAGAATCTTTCTTTGTTTTTGAATTTTGAATGTTTAGTATCGAAATATAAATGGGATTCGATCTTTAAATCTTCAATTTATCACTCCAGAATCTTAACTCCCTTCTCTTCCCTTCCATTGATGTATTTTGGTGATTAGCTTCCAAGATTTATTTGTCTTTCTATATTTTCTATCTGGCAATTTACAGAAGGCCACATGATTCCGATTTTGCTTCTTTTTTAAGTTTTCTTTGGAGCAAACTTCAAAGTATTGAATTTCGCTCTCTTCCAGTCGATGTAAAGCTGGACGGCCTTGTCATGTATGAGTACGGCCGCTACCGGTCCTTTGAGATTTTTTTTTTTTAATTAGGATGTATAGTTTTGTAAGTATGATTGAGTTAGTATTAGTATGTATGGCTGTCTTCCAAGTGATCATAGCTGTCTTTTGTCCTTGTTTGAGATTTTATCATTTAAATTTTTTTAACCGTTAAAAATGAATCAATTCAGCTTTATGCCGGCTTGCTTTCTATCTAATTCCTATTTCCATTTCTAAGACTAAAATAACTGTTTGTCTCTATGCTCGCAGGGCTTTTTGGCAGAAAAGGAGGATTTCAGGATCAGAGATGAATAATCACACAGAAAAACTGCTTCATCTCTCTCCTTTCTCTCTCTAGTTGGCACCCTCTTTCTTTTATGAAATTTTATGAAGTATTCTTGTAAATTAGTGAATCGAAGTGCATCAATCTTATTCTGAAAAAAAGAAAAAAAGATCATCAAGCAAATCTCCATCTTTATCATTTTTCAGTTCATTTCACACTCCACATTACACGTTTTTTTGTGCTTCAGGTGCTGACTAAATCCCAGAAAGGTTAAACTTTTAATTAACAGCGATTAAGAAGATATTGTATTAATAATTGGGGGTTCTTAGTCTGTGAAGGAGTATCGCGGATTTACTTCTGTTTTCTTGTGATGATTTGGGGTGTTTTTTTATCTTTTTCATGGCTCATTTGGATCATTATTTGGGGAATATTAGTTGGGATAACCGAAGGGTCACTTCATTAGCTTTATAATATTTGTTTAAGCGTTAGTTTAGTTCATTATTATCAGGTAATTGTGTTGGCATGTGGCTGGTGATTTGACTAGTTGGGTTGGTCGTCTAGCGACGCTGTACCAGCTAGCTGTCCCACTGGCTGCATGATTCGCCAGCTTGGACAAGCCATTTTTTGATATTTAATTTAGTTTGCTAATCACACCAGAATTAATTAGAGAAGCTGATCAAATATCGTACTATACTACTATACTATCTGAATATATTTTTTTGAGCACTTTGATATTTCGCACTTAGCTCTTGCAGTTTGATGTCCGCATAAATACTTTTTTCATTTGGTTAAAGCCCAAACACTCGCAATTAACCTTTTTGATCTTGAAATCGTCCATTCAATTGAGTCCCAATCGAATGGGCTATACTATTTTTTTTAGTTTTGTAAATGTATTTATTATCAAAAGTTATGCTAAGATTTTACTTGGATAATTTTTTTATTGTTTTTTAAAATGATTTTTTTATACAAAAAATATAAATTTTGTACTAAATTTTTTTAAAAAAAAGCAATAAGAAAGGTGTCTCAAATGAAGCCGAAATTAATAAGAATTTTTTTTTAAGGTTTTGTTGGAAGCAGCTTTTGATTATTATTTTTAAAGTTTTATATAAAAAATTAGTGTACAAAATAATAAGAAACCAATAGCAAAGAAAACTTTAATCAATTAGAATTTTTTTGAAATCAGTGGAAGTAGATATGACAATTATATGCTATGATTTAACTTCAGATTAATTGACAAGAAAGTATTTTCGATGTAGTTAATAGATAATTATACTTAAAATAGCTTCGATAAAATATTATAGCTCCATGATACATATTTTAATGATAAAGCAGCAGCCATTAGCCAATGCAATTGTTAACTCTGTCAAATTTTGGCATCAAAATCAGTGCATGCGCCGCAGAATCGGGGCAATAAATGCATAATGCGTTCAAGCAACCATATTAACGAGAAGTAAATTAGCTCCAGAATACGAGATTTGAAAGGTAGTGATGGAAGGAGTAAGCCTGAAGCGTCCGACTTCGGCGCCCCACCGACGCCAACCTGGCAGATTAAAAATAGAAGTACTACTATGAGAGAAATTGGCAGGGAACATCCATTCCTTGACATTAAGGACTTTGTTTTTTTTTTGAATGATCAGTTTATGTAAGAAAGGCGAAATTATTTTGTGCGGAGATCGGATGCAGAACGTTGTCCGGAGACCAATCAAAATGCCCCACATCTGCAATACCGAGCCGCAATATAGAGCGGTACCGAGCAAGGGGTGACGTACGTGGGGCATTCTGATTGGCCTCCGGATGACGTTCGGCTTTGCACATAATAAATAATAGTAAGAAAGGGCTTCGAAAGATTTATATAATGTAAGCTTGGCACTGTTTAAAAGGAGAACAAAATTGATATTTGTAAACTCTAAATAAAAAAAGAGACATTCAAGAAGGGTGGCTAACATTGTATATGTGTCAACTTGCAACATTAGGAGTTAGAGTAATAAAACTTTGAAATTGGAGAGGCATCAATTGTTGGATTATAAATGTACCATTGTCAAACTCCCGATGCGCAAACATCATTAGTCGTTACCCATAGCCCAAAGAAAATGATAGAAATTGATTGTGGCTATCTCTTAGAGTGAAGTCCAATGAGCAGAAAGAATGAACAATAAAGTTCAATGAGTATAATATGAAAAAAAACACAATTAAAAGGAAACAATGTCCATTAAAACATGACACACCATATCACAACGAATGAATTATAGAAATCAACAGCATGTAGGAAATAACTTCTTAGCATTATTATGATCATTGTTTCAATCCATGAAAATCACATTCATATCCTCAAATCAAATAGGCTTTAAATTTCTACCATCTCAATTTATGAGCCACAAAAGATATAAGCTATGCAGTCAAAAATTTATTGCAAGCATTAATTTATGAAAAGATATTCTCATTTCTTGCTCTCTAGGTCTAAATGACATACACAAGCACAGAACAAATTAGCAAGTGAGGCATTTTCTCAAACATATGAGCAACTTGGAAGCGTACAAAGCCGAGTCCATGCTGCATTCAATCAAGAACAAGGAACCTCTTAGAAGCAAAATTCCTCCGTAGCTAAAAGAATAGAGACATTCAAAGAAAATGTGATTGTTAGATTTATAAGAAGATTAGCATAATCTACAACCACTATGTACATTTAATCATTATGTTAATAGTTTATCCATAATCTTTAAGGCTTCAGATTATGCAAGCCAATAGTATAAAAAATATTTCAAAAGAAGCATTCAAATCATATCAATCGATGCCAAACCGCATTTTTCAAATTATGAGAACGGCCTTTTAAAACAATTTCAATAGAGAAATCTATATCCAAAATCCAAAATATTTTGTCAAGACTCTCATTAATTGAATGCTAGAAATAGTTCTACAATATAACGAGTTAGTATTAGTAAGAGAAAAGGAGAAAATTTTGTGGAAAGTTGAAAACAACAAAATAATATGGGGAAAAAATTTAAAATAGGAAAATTTTTTATTACCCAATGATCATGAAATTTAGAAATGTTAGTTACATTTTCGATGTGAAATAATGGTCATTTCCTCATGTTAATAGCTATTAAGAGTTTATTCTTCTTAGAGGGAGGAGAGCCATTGATGTTTGCCTCCCCATAAAGACCAATAACAACCTTAACACCAACTTGAGAAAGGATTAGAGAAATGCTAAAGTCTTCAAATTAACTTCATTTTACAAATAGAATTGAGGGTGCACAAGGAAGAGAGTCTCGCACCCTGGCCTCTTGTATCTCTAAGAATAGTAGTTTGATATCAATAAAAAATATGCAACTTCAAATGCCAACGTCGAAGAAGAAGCAACAAGTAATATTTGATATATTTTTAATAACACATCTGGGTAAGAATGTTGAAGGAAACCAATTGAAGAACAAGAAGTGTTGAAATAAAAGGGAATAAATTAATATCTACGAGCTAATGAGATACATCTAATATTAATAGATTTTTAGAAAGACAAGCTGAATCTTAGCCACCCTTCTCAGTGAGAGCAACCCTAGCCTCCCATTTCCACTCCACCTCCAACCCTATCAGACCCTATAACTCCTCTCTCTCGATCTTTCTCGTTTGTCATATGCAATTCACTTATCCTCCTTAGCATCGTGCTAGCATTGTGCATTAGTTGAAATTAATATGCCTTGGTTGAGTTTGATTTGCTTAGTTTTTTTTGTCAGAAAATTGGCTTAGAACCAAGTAAATCATTGTGTCATGCAATAACAATCCTGGTGAAGTCATGAATTGGTTATGTAGATTGGATAAACCATTTTAACTTTTAAGTAGGAAATTATCCACACTTAGGATATGGACTTCTCATAAACTATTTTAGAAAAAAAAATGTTCCTTTTGTGATCTCAATCCTTTCTTATGCATTTATTTTGTGGTGAAAATTTTTTTTCTTGATTGGCTTCTTCCACTTATGCTAATGGCCTTAGCTTTAGCTAGTTAACCACAAAGTTGAGGGATGCATAAAAAGTATTTAAAATCACTTTGGCCTTTGGCTAGATTTAAATCAAGCATCCATATTACGAGGGAATGTGGAACAAGGGGAACAAAGTTAGGGCAAATATGTAGTCAAACAAACCCATTACAACCTAAGAGTTAGAGAGAACCATTTGGTATTTCAAGAAGCTGAACAGGATCTTATGTTCCTCCATCAAGATCCTACAGGAAGTATGGACTGGACACAAATCTGATTATAGCAACCCGAAAGTGTTTTGCTGTGGCTGTACTATTTTTGCTCATATATATGAAGCAAGATAAGTTGATGCCAAGAGCGGTTAAATGCATTTGTTTGGGTTATCCTGAAGGTGTAAAAGGGCACAAATTATGATGCATAGTTCCGGGAATGAAAAAGGGCATGAAAAAATGCATTACATGTAGAGACATAACTTGTGGAGAAGATGAGTTTCCTATGCTAAGTCAAACAAATTTGGTTATGCTGTTCTTATTGCATATGCATTAGCTGTTTTAGATAAGGAAGAAAGTGAAGAACCTGCTTCATATTTTGAAGCTACCAGTGGTAAATAAGTAGTGCACTGGATAATGCAATGAAAGAAGAATAAATTCATTATATAAGAACAACACTTGGGATGTTGTTTGTAGACCTTTGCATACGAAGATTGTTAGTTCTAAATGGCTATAGAAGAAAAAGGATGATTCGCATAATCTGTTGAAGCCAAAGTTCAAAGCTAGGCTTGTGGCAAGTGGCCTCACACTGTAAGGAGTAGATTATAATAACATTTTTTCTCTAGTTGTCAAACAAACATCTATCAGAATTATGTTATTCATTGTGGCCAAATTTGATCTTGAATTGGATCAAATGGATGTGAAGACAACATTCTTATATGGAAAATTGGAAGAAACAATATTCGTGGAGCAACTAGAAACATTTTTTGATGGAAATAGAAACCACGTTTGTCGATTGAATAAGCCTATTTATGGTTTAAAGAAATCATCGAGACAAAGGTATAATCGATTTGATCAATTTATAAAATGCATTGTCTCGTGTTTCTATTATTGTATGTTGATGACATATTAATAGCTAGCGAAATACGGACCGAAGTTGATTTTATAAAAGAGCATTTTGATATGTTGGGGGCCGAGGGGAGTTAATATTCATTATGTGAGGGGGGGAAATTATGAGAGAT